ACCCGATGTGACTTTCCATGGCCAAAGCTGAGTTATCTCCTGGTGAAACACATAACCTTAGGCAGATGAATCTTGCCTGGTGGAGAGCTACCTACAGGGATGCGAATGAATAAAGCAATACTCACTAGCTCGCGAAGACAATGGAACAAGGGTGGAAGAGTTAGCAGGAGCCACTGGAGAAAGAAAAATGAAGATTAAAAAAAAAAGAAGAAAAGAAAATAGATCATTGGAAGCATACGGATGCTGAACTGGAAAAAACAAAACAAAACAAAACAAAAAAACCACGGGAGTAGCAATCTTGGGGTGCTGGTACAAGGAGCAGATGTGAAGTAAAGTTGGAAAGAGAAAAACTGCATGCAACAGGAGGCTGCCACGCCAGTGGACGGTGTACAGGGATCTCTTGTAAGTAACAAATCATGAGCCCAAGAGCCTGGCAAGTCTGCCATGCACCAGCTGAAGAGGCCTCAAACCTTGACCAAACACAAGCAGCCACTTGGGCAGGGTCACCTGTGTCCATAAACTCTGAGGGACAGGCGGTCAGCTACCTGGGCCTCAGCCTAATGTGTACCTTAGCAAGGAAAGAGACTGGCTTTTCATGTTACATATTAGGTACATTATAGGCGTGTATCTATGTACATGGCATATCTCTTGTATGTGTATACGTGTTTTAGTGGTGATCATGCACACCAGATGTTGAGTGTCTTCTTCAATTGCTTTCCACCTGATTTTTTAAAAAAATATATTTTATTTTAAGTTACATGTATATGTGTATGTCTTTGTGTAGAGGTGTATGTATATGAGTGGAAGTGCCTAAGAAGACCAGAAAGAGATCCTCTAGAGCTGACGTTACAGGTGCTTGTGAGCTGTCGGACATGGATACCGGTAGCTTCACTCTGGTTCCCTGTAGGACATGCTCACACCCAGCAAGCCATTTCTCCAGCCCCTAGTCACCTTACTTTTTAAGGTAGGGGCCTCTCACTGCACCTAGAGCTCACTGATTCAGGGAGGCTGGTGGGCTGGGCACCGAGACAACTGTTGTCTCTGTGTCCCTGGCTTTTTTATGTGAGTGCTAGGGATTGGATCCACATCCTTACTCTTGGGCATCATGTGGTTTACTGTCTAGGCATCTTCCTGCCCTACCTGGTCCATCTAGCAAAACCTATGAGTCTCACTCTCTAACTTGAATAACTGGGTGAGACAGAATTGGCCATTTTCATACAGAAGCCTCTGAAAACACGGCTGCTTTTCAAAAAAAAGAAAAAGAAAAGAAAAATCCTAGAGAATGTGATTGTTTACACTGCTAAGGACAGAGAAAGGAAACATTAACGATACGGATCCTCACAAAAAGTCCTAAGTACCCTTCAGCCTGGAGGATGGCTGGAGACTACATCTGCCACACCAGGATACCGAATGGGTCTTTGGGGTATGACTGACAAATATCCAGAAGTTGTCCTTCAGGAATTCAAAAACACAGGCTCCTCTGAGAGCTATGTGAGAGAATACGGAAGCCTCAGCCTATTGGCAGTGCTGCCTCAATGCTCAGGGCTTGGTTTTCCAGATGACACCATCAGAGTCAATGTCCCTGAAGGCATAGCAGCTTGGTCATGAATAGGTGGCTCAGTTAATTAAGGTAAAAGTCTCTCTCACTCACGCTCTCCCTCTCTCTGTCTCTGTGTGTGGTGTCTTAACATGTTTGCATAGTTGTTCATATTATTTCGGAAAAGGCCTGATATCTTACGCACTTTAATCATGTGCATTGCAATACATTTAAGGTGTCCCTCAAGTATCACAGGGGAGACCACATCGAAATAGAAATCTCAAGGCACATCTTTTAAACAAAAATGTGCAGTCTCTACACCTTAAAATACTCTATTTGGTTTCTTGGCACAGAAGCAAAATCAAAAGTACCACCCAGGCCACGAAATTCTACAAGTGTGTGGTTCAGTGACAGAGAAAAAAAAAAAAAAAACATTCAACAAACAGAGTATAAGTTTCCAGCAGGGAGGCAGGCCCTGCCGCAGCAGGCAGCTCATGAACTTAATAGCAGAGGGTCTTGAGTCCACACAGGCATTGAGTTTGAAAACACATGCAACAGAACATTCCCCAGGTTAGAGCTTAGTTTGTTTACACACACAGCTCTCTTTTCACCTCTACGCACTGCACACAGACAGCTAAATCATGCTTTGCCTGGCAGCTAGCTGGGAGGCCTCAGTCCTTTGTGTCCTTGTGGCTTTTGTTAGTTTTGCCTGTTTGTCTCTGGCTGTGATAAACCTACGCCCTTGACTGTGCAGGGGTTTCCTAAGGAGCCAAGAAAGCAACTCTGTTACTGAAACGTCTCGAAAAACTTCAACACTTAATGCCAAACACTGGCCTTAACTAACACCTCCCAACTCAGCAGTTTGGCAGCTAACACTTCTGGCCCTGGCCCCTCTCTCACCTGGGATAGAGATTGCACTCTGGTCCCAACTCCAGAGCCACAAATCAGTCTGTGTCTATACATGGATAGTCTTATAGGATAGGGGAATAGTGCTAGGCCACCACAGGAGGGCCAGTAGGGCGCAGGCTTAGCAGAAGCACGCACAGATCAGTCGACAGGTGGATCTCTGAATTCAGGCAACTTTCTTGTCTTCCAAGAATGGGAGTGAGGACCCAGAGGAGACCCCTGAGAAGACTTGCCACTTCACAGTCTATAAAGTGGGCTTCGTCTCAGCGGTGGGAAACACTGGCCTCATCTTCCCAATGGTGTCCTTTCTCAGGACCGGTGGGAGTGCTCTTGAGCCAGACCTGCATCAGTCACTTGGGAAAGCTTGTGAGTGTTAAAGGGAAGACCACGCTGAGGTTCCTTTAGGGAGTGTGCTGTTCCTGTGTTTACCAAACCACCACGCTGCCATTCTGCATGTGCTTCTAAGATTAAACTCCACTCCTGCTTGTCAAAAAATAATCCTTTCTTCTAAACATTCCCCACGTCCTCCCTTCTTTCCTTCCTTCCTCCCTCCTTGCCTGCCTGGAGGTTTGAATCTATGGCTTTGCACAGGCCGGGCAAGTGTGCCATTGTTGAGATAGATCACCAGTCCTTTCTCCTTTCATTTTATCTTGATACAGGGTCTCATTAAGTTACCCAGGGTAGCCTGGAACTCAGTCTGTAGCCCAGGCAAGCCTTGAACTTATGATTCTCCCACCTAAGGCTCCAATGAAGCTGAGATTACACCTATACTTATTAAGGCCTGTAAAGCCTGGTGCTTATTAATTCTTTAAATCATACCTTTATTATGCGGTTGAGAAAACCGACTTTTGTGTTAATTGTTGCTGTGTCACAGCCTTCTCCAGAGGACTCTGAGAGTCTCCATTAGTTATCCACATTCACACTACCAGACAACAAAAGACCAAGTCCAGAGGCTTTCTTCTTTTAAAAATTAACAACTAAAACTAAAAGTAAAAATTTTAATTAAACATGCATTTTTTAACATGACTTGAAACACACCTTCTGCTGTATTAAAAAAACAAACAAACCCAAACCTCAAACAATCCTATCTTCATAAGGCACAATCTGGTAATGAATGGAAACCACTGTGACCTCGAGGGTCCAGTCCTCCTAGTCAGCTGTCCTCACTGGGGCGAAGACAGTCAAAAGAACGTCTTAATACAAGCCTCCCTCTCTCTAACTAGCAAAGCTGGTCCTTGCTTCCAGATCGCTTCCAGTAAAGAGGGTCCTGGAGGGAGCAACTGAGCATTGCTGGAAGGATCCAGAAGGGAGAGGTTTCTCCGCAGAGCTCCCCTGGGGCACAGCTGTCAGTCTAGCCTGACTGCTCCTTCCCTGCACCCCTCACTCCCACACCTTCTGACACCTTCCCTAGCTGCTGCATTCAGACACCACCGTGGCTGGTGGGGTAACAGCCACACTCAGCTACTTAGTTTTTGCTGTTGCTGCAATATTTCAAAATACTTTTAGAAATATAAGTTTCCCTGGGTGCCTTTTAGGATCGAGCAGCTTTCTCCGAATGGTGTACAGCTTCCTGAGTATCTTTCCTTCCGGGTCTGTTGTGTGTCTCCACCCTCTGTTCTCTACCGTGCTCAGCCTAGGAAGAGAGAGCCAGACCTCTGCAAAGTGACTTTTGGGGGTGGGGTGTCTCTGCAGGCTGAGGGGTGAGGGCCAGTTCCACCCTCTGTAGCAGCTGCCACCTCTCTTGTTTCCCTTGTTCTCTGTGTTCTATAGTTCCAGTTTACATAATTATGGTGTCACTCCTTTGGGAAATCTCTCCCTCTTTCCACGCTATACTGGGTAGCTACTAAGTTAAGTGGCCAGTGTTTTCCCAATATGGGAATGGCCACTGTGAGCAATTCAGGGCAAATAGAGGGAGCTGACCAGTTCCGAGGGCTTAGCTCCCTTCCCATGCCCAGTGCAGGCAGCTGCCTGCCAGGATACAGTGTAACTACACCTTTCTGTACCCCAACACTAGGGATCTCCACCAGTTGCCTCTGCTCCTCCTCATCTACCACCTAACAGACAAGCCAGAAAGCATGCGTTCCCCATTCTTTGACTTCCTAAAAGCAAACAGGAAGATTATTTTTGGCTCCTTTTCCTCGACTGTATTTGGAACAGTGTCCTCAGGAGGCAGATGTCACTCCTCCGGCACCAGGGCTAAAAGTGAGGGGCTGCTATTAGCTTGTTACTTGAAGACCATCTGCAGAGTTCCACCATGCGTGGTTCGGCAAGCCTTATCTTCTCCACAGAGTAATGACTACACACAAAAATTAATAAGTGAACACAATTTCAAAAGACACAGAAGTTGCATGCTCTAGAACAGTGGTGTTAGCCTCTTGGAGTAACCTATATAGGTTAACAAAGGCACAGCTAGACTAAGGTCAGTGTGGTTAGGGCTCAGACAGCATCATCTACTTCAGCCTCTAGGGAACAAAAAAAGGGGCCGGAACTAAATTATGAACTAGAACTAGATGTTAACACTATGGAAACAGGTAATGAGGTATGAAGAGGCACTTACGTGGAGGAGGGCTGTCTGCATTTCCCATGGATGGAACACAGACGAAAAGAAAAGCCAAGAGACAGACCCAAGGGAAAAAAAATAAGATGTAAAAAAAATGAACAGAATCCACAGAGCACATGGAGCTAAAACGCAAATTACCAAATTACTTTAAACAGAAAGAAACACACTCTCCAGAAGGAGGGTGAGAACAGCTCTATCGCTGGGAAGAGGTTAGAGTGGCGGGTGGGGGAGGGTCTCTTTGTTGGCTCCCAGGCTTGTCAGGCTAAGAAGCAAAGGGTTTTCTTGTGTGGATTAAGTCAGGGTCCTAGGAGAGCTTGGAACTCCATGATCACCCAGGAGACCAGTTCTACAGCATCTCCGTCAGCTGGAGGCACCTAGGTGCCTTAGGTGCCTTATGGGGGCAGCAATGTGGATGGTAGAGGAACACGGCCATGGGAAGGCTTGTCCAGAGCCTGGCTGCTGTGGGAAACAAAGGCTATGCTGGGCAAGCATGGTTTTAAGGGATGGAGGGAATGGCAGAGAAACCTAGAGACAGCTCTGAATGGAACCTGGGGAAAGCAGCTCTCCTGAAGAAGTCTGTGAGGCAGAGATGGTCTGAGGAGTCATCTTGGGAAGAAAGAATCAGGCAAGTCCAGGGCCCCTTTCAGATGGCGGGAACCCATATCTCCTCACAAAGAAGATGCCCTATGACTTTATATAGTTACTGCATCGGAAGTGCCAGCACAAATGACATGAGCAGGCATTGTTTCTATTGCCCCCCTTCAAGTCACTAAGTGCTTAGGAGCCTCTGTGGACTGGCTCAGAAAGCAGCTCTCCCAACCTTCCATAGGCCCTGATTGTTTCCCCCTCCCACATCCAACTCGTCACCATAGTTAATCTTTGGTGGCCTCTGGCTGCTAGTCTAATAAACTGGGTCACCCATTAGAACAGTATCCTCCACACAGAATGAAAGGAGCACAGATCAGCCATCCCTGAGAACCGGAGAGGTAGGTGGGCAACTATAGACCTGGGGACCCAAAAGACAAAAGCTGTCCTCTGAGCTATGATGGGGCCAACTCAGGTTTCCTGCCTATCCCTGAGGAAAAGAGGGAAGAGTGTGAGTGTGGAGAGAGTCAGAGCAGCTGGCTGTACTTACGGACTGGCTGTGTCTTGAACTCCGTGGCTGCACTGATCTCACCCAGCCCCTTGCCGTTGAGGGCCGCCAGCCGCACTGCATACCTTGTCTCAGGCTTCAGGCCCATGATGGTAACAATGCCTTCCATGTTGGCTATGGTGAGAAAACGGAGTAGATTAAAAAGGAGTGTCCGTGTACAGGGAAAACCACGCTGAGGAAAAGAGTGTGGTAGGTGTTCAGAAAATTAAACACAACCGTTGTTTGGCAAACATGTAGAAGAATTGAAAGCAGGAGATGAACAGATACCTGTACACTCATGTTCACAACTGCAGTCTTCCCATCAGTCCAAAGTCACAAGCTGCCTTCATGACTTATTGTGTAACAGATGAATGGATCAAGGAAATGCAGTGAGAACCAACAATGGGATATTTACCCAGCCTTACAGATGAAATGTTGACACGTGCTAAAATATGAGGAATCTTGAGAACATTTTGTTAAATGAGCTGATGCAAGAGGACAAATAGCATATGATTCCGTTCCCATGAGGTACACAGGATAGTCAGCTAGGGAGGGACAGTGGAATGGTGGTTGCCAAGGACCAGAAGGAGGTGGAGAAAGCAGGAATTAGAGTTTCAGTATGAGGTGATGGAAATGTTCTGAAGGTGGCCAGAGGTGATGGCTGTGACTCGACACTACTGACTTGCATACTTAAGAATGACTAAATGCATAATTCATGTGGATTTCACCAAAATAAAAGTAGAAGTGATATATTTTTTTAAAGGGGCTGGGGAGATGTCTCAGCAGGTTAAGTGTCTGCTGCACAAGTACAAAAACCTGAGTTCAAATCCCAGAAGCCCTGTTACAGCTGGGGCTGGAGCCACATTCCTGTAACTCCAGCACAGGGGCTAGAGACAGATGGATCATAGGGCACTGAGGTTCACTGCTCAGACAGCCCAGCTGAACTCATGAATTTCAGGGTTAGAAAATAAAGGTGGAGAGTGACTAGGAAAGACACTTGATGCTGACTCCATGTGTGTGTGTGTGTGTGTGTGTGAGAGAGAGAGAGAGAGAGAGAGAGAGAGAGAGAGAGAGAGACAAAAAGAGACAGAGAGGGAAAGAAAGGAAAGGAGAAAGAGGGAAGGATATAGGAGGAAGGGAGAGAGGAAGATATTTAATCTTGAAAGACATCACTGGATTAACTTGGAAGATAGAACAGGGTTGATTCGGGGTAGATCTGTCATCTTGCTGGCCCGGTTATTGTCATCAGTACATGATTGTTCCTGTGTTCAGACCAAGCAGGGATGTCCAGGTGTCATCAGAGAGGAAGCAGAGAGAAGAGTGTGGATGCTTACACTCTTTTCCCCACTGAACTCAGCACCTAATCAGGTCTTCTATCTAGGAATCATCTGAGAGATCACAGGAAGTAGGCACTGAAGCAGCAAGGGACAGAAGGTCAACAACTCTATGGAAGCATGACCTTGACCTAATTCTAGCAGAAAGAGTTCCTAACTCTGGAGGAAACTGGATGGGATGGCAGATGGTGACATCTTGCACGTTCCCTACCTACACGGTCAGCAAAGTTGTGAATTCCAGGGGGTGTGGTAGACTCACCTTCTTTGGCATCATACCACTTGAAATGCCACGCTTCTTCGCCCAGTGACTTCCACTCAGCCTTGTATTTGAGGATGGGCACTCCACCTGTGGCCTCTGGCTCATCGAACTGCACCTGTGCTGTGCTGGAGTATGGGTCAACCCGGTCGATGGATGGAGAAGATGGCGTGTCTGTGAGAACACATAGAGACACCCAGGTCATAGATGTGGCCCATGACCACAACTCCCAATTTGAAGTATGTCTCTCATGTTTCTGCTCCCTCTTGGGAATCTTATCTAAGAACCTCTGATTTTGGAGACTCTTTCCTAGCATATGTCAAATTCTACTCAACTTATCCCATAGCTGGAGTCTCACACTTTAAGTGGCTACCAGCATCTGACTTTTCAGACCCTGGCTCCAACTTTTCCCTCTTCACTGGTATCCTTGAAGTATATGAGATGGTCCAGCAAGGGCAAGGATGGTGTGGAAGTTACCATGAAGGGCACTCACCTGCTTGAACAAGGATGAATTCCAAGGACTCCTGTCCAATGCGATTCACTGCCGTACAGTTGTAGTTTCCAAAGTCATTTTCTGAGTCAGGGGTTACCTGTAGAAGGAAGGGCCCCATGGGTTACAAACATCCCAAGAATGGCTACACTCATCTTTATTTCTGAAATACAGTTAGTAAAGAATAAAAAGGTGATGTACATATGATCAACCCCAATGGGAAAAACAAACAAACAAACAAACAAACAAACAAACAACGGCTCACGTAGGAGGCACATGTCCAGTCCCAGCCTAGCTGCATGGTCAAGACCAGTGAAGGTGAGGATGGGGACCTAGAAGAAAGGCTCAGTTCCTTCTCCATATAGTGTTCCCCAGTTACAGATATGCTAGGGAAGCAGGAGAAATGATTTACGTGTTCCCATGATCACATAGCCCTTTCCACCCTGCTTTTCCCCCACACCCTAATTCACCTCCAGATAGCTAGCAGATGGGGTATTGTAGATCTTGATATTGCTGTAGTTGGAGCTTGGCAGCAACTGACCATCTCGGAACCAGGAGATTGTGGCACTTGGGTAGGCAAAGACCTCACAGGTGATGTTCACCTGGTTCCCCTCCCAAGTGTACACAGCCACAGGGCCCTGGAGCTTGGGAGCATCTGCAATGAATGACAATGACCATCAGAACAGCTAGCATTTTCTTAGCACACCCACAGCCTGCCCTCTGGCATTGGAAAGCTAAGCATGACCCAAAGCAGAGATGGTGCTTGGAGCAGCACAGCTCTGGGACATTTTGGAATTCATGTGTACATGTTCTGCTTGAGAGGACTTGCAGCATGGGGGACTGGTGGCAAGCTTGGGGCTGGTGTTTGTGTGTGAGTACTTGGGGCCACAACTCTGAAACAGTTGAGGGCCAACAGCGTCAGGAAATGAACAAAGCGGAACTTGGTACTGAAGCTGAAGCTTGTGTCTCCTGTATCCTGACCCTCCACCCACTCCTTCCCTAGTTATTCCTTACATTGAACTTCAAGGTACATGGACTGGGAGTCCTGGCCGATGGTGTTGCTGGCCGTGCAGATATATTCGCCAGCATCTGTGTACTGGATGCTCTTCAGAGTCAGGGAGGACACACGAGCATGGCTGCGTACCACCATGTGTCCATCCAAAGTCTGCCAGGAGGAAATGGACAGCATCAGAGACTGAGGTGAGGCAGAGGGCTGGGGCAGCTAGAATAGTGTGGGTCTAGGAAACAAGGCCATTGCTTGTCTGTGATCAGTCTCTATTCCTTTCTCTGTGTCAACCTCTAAATTCACTTCATCTATCTAATAATGGAGGAGAGTGTGGGAGCAGAGTGGGAACTTTAAGGCAGTTCAAACAGAAAATGGAACTCAGATGGTTGGGGGCATGGTAAGGTCCCTCAAGACTAGTTTGGGATGTGTTAAAATGTAAGCAAAAGCCCTGGCTGGCACAGATTCCAGAAAGATCTTGCCTTTCACCCACCCCTGTGCTTTCCTTCTAGTCTGACCATCCCTCACAGTTCCATGGTGTGTGAATGTGTACTAGAAAATGCCAGTGACCCAAATGTAAGAAATGCAAGAATGTCTTTCCTGTAGATGCCTCTCTTCCCTGCATGTGTGATAGTAAGACAGTTTTCATTTTTAATGGGGAAACAAGCAGAAGCTCAGGCCCTGCAGAGCCAAAAGTATCAGGTCCTCCTCTTGAAGAACAGTAGAAAAAGAGCCACAGGCTCACTCAGGATCCTTTGTACCAAAGTCTGCACCCATCTCTAGTCTTTGATACTATCATTAGTTTACTGAGTCTCTAGAGTTACAAGGACATTCGGGAAATGAATAAGCACATGATCCTTAGACAATGGATATTAGAATACTTGCCAGGCCTCCCTCTTTGGCATTTTAGGCAAAAGGATTGCTAGCCTTTGCAGGGCCTAGGCATGTTCTCCTGGGTCAGATTCCTCAGAAAACTGGTAAAATGAAGAGGGGCCATATTCTATATAAGCTGGGCAGCCCCATTAGGTCCACTGCAAGATTCTCAGTAGAGATGAATAAGAGGGTGTGCTACAGCTGCCACATTATTGGGTTTGGTCTTTAGAGAATTAAAGAGCATGTAACCTCAGCTTCTATCAACATGCTGAATTAGAAGCTCAGTGGGCAGAACCACAATGTCCATTTCTAGACAGTCCAGGAAGTTAAAAAAAAAGAAGAAGGTCTCCCTGGTCTTGTACAGAGGTCTTATCAGACCTATTGCACAATGTCCATTTACCATCAGTAATCTACACCATTTGGATAATGTCCACTTCAGTTATCTGAGTTGTATCTGGGAGTCAAATCCTGCTTCTAACAAGGGGAGGAAGGGACAAGGAAAATCATCTCTGCCTATAGCTTTGTCCAGCTTTTTCTATTAGAGATGGATACCCTGTAAATAGGGGAGGTTTGATGATCAAGACGCTGCATCCCAGGACATGGTACACATTAAAGAGAGGTGACGGGAGACTGTCCTAGAGAATCCAGAGACAGTTTATTGGAGATGCTATATTCCAGGACTCCTTTTCTTATAAGCAGATACTGGTCCATCTTAGTGGCTATTTTTATATGTCAAACATAATCTTCACGCATATGTCCAGCTTCTGAGACCATGAAGTAAGTCTTGCAGGGATCTTTAAAAAGCTGGCCTGATTTGTTTATCACTCCTTTCTGTCAAAAGCACAACAGAATTGGAAGAAGAAGGGACTCAAGGTCCACACATGGTCTTGTCAACTGTGGGATGAACTGTGACCCAGGTTGGGCTTTTCCTGGATTCTCAGGAATCCGAGAGAATATTTCCATGTAGAAAGAGGCAAAGAGAGTCACACAAGTAAGAGCATTAGCACAAAGCAAGACATGAACAGCCCTTTCTCTGAAATGTACAAAGACAAGCTCATGGAAAGGCTGCAAGATTTTTTTTTGGCTTGTTTCATAAATCTATCTCCTTGCCTGTATTTGCCTGTGTGGAGATTTCTGTCATTTAATGATGTCATCAGGCCAGTAGGCAATCCTCTATAGGGATTTCTTATTTTGGCTCACTGAAAGTTTGATCATGGGATTCTTCACCAGCTGTCCAGTCATCCCTTGGAGGATACACTGATAGACTACAATGTGGTTGAGTTATCTCGTCCTCAAATAATTTCTTCTGGCACAGGGGCACTCCCATAAGACACTCCAACCACATGTCCTGTTGACCACTCAGGCATCTTCAGAGGGAGCCGCTGAACTCAGGTATGAGTAGAACAAACATATTACAGCAAAGAGATCTTTCTCCTTCTGTTTAAAAAATTTTGTGTGACTCTAATTATTCTTATCAAAACAGTTCCCAGGTAAAAGTGCTAAGACTTTCAGAGCATCTAGAATGAACCTGGCTACAACACAATCCTGCACTCAACTGGCCTATGGTCTTCATCTCTGAATGAGTCAAATAGGAAAAAATGGAACTTCTGAGCCTCGTGGGCAGCATTCACTTGAAAGTCAATTATGTCCAAAGTGAAACATTCAAGATAAAAGATACTTCTGGAAGATGGAGTGGGGCTCCTGCTTTCCTGGGAGTAAACCTATTATTTCCATTTATAATGATAACCCATTTAATATCTCCTTAATGTTCCCTGATAAATCTTAGCACCTCCTCCAGCCATGTCCAGATCAGAATGACAGGAAGAGATGAACAAGGCAAAGCATGAGATCAGTAGCTTTGGAAGTCAGCCCCATACTTCACCCCTCTTCTACCCCTTCCCCAATGCTGATGGGGCCATGGTTTTTGGGTAATCAAGCACTCAGCCTATGACAGCATTAAGTGATTTCAAGGCCCCAGGAGGGAACCATTTTAGTGGGGACATGTACTTGACGATGGTCCCCATGTCATCAAAGAAGGCATGCTACAGAGATGAACTTATGATGAACAAGATTCAACAATGGCAGACTTCTTGGGTGCAGAAATGAATGTCCATGCCAGGAGACAGGTGACAACTTTCAAATATTAAGCAGCTTTCAGTATTTATTGCTATGACCTAATCACAGGAGTTATGTGTTCTGAATGGTTATCACCCCAAAAGAATGGGAGGGTACACTCACTGAATTAAAATAGAGAGTCTATTTGGACTACTGAATCCTTTTCTGTGATTATTGTTTTGGGTGTGAAAGCTTCATTTGGAGAAAGGCACAAAGGGGACTTTAATAAAAAATATTCACAGATTAGATTTTTTAAATTTATGTAGAGGCAATTGAGTGTGTGTGTGTGTGTGTGTGTGTGTGTGTGTGTGCGCACACACACACATATGTATGCCTATGTAGAAGTTAGAAGTCAAATCCAAGTGTCATTCTTCAGGAGCCATCCACCTTGTTTTTCAAGAAACAGTCTCTCACTGGTATCCAGGGCTCATTGGCTAGACTAACTGGCCAATGAGCCTCCTAGGTCCACCTGTCTATTTCTTCTCAGGGCTGAGATTAAAAGCACGTAACAGCATCCCTGGCTTCAACAGGAGTGCTGAGGCTCGGCACCAGGGCCTTGTGCTTGTCTAGCAAGCACTTTACTGACGGAGCTCTAACTCCCGAGTCTCAGGGCAGCTGGTTTTTATGTTACAATTGGTTGCTTATAGGTACACAAACCAGGTAAAAAATGGTGGGCATGACTGTATGGAGGGTCTTCAAGTACAGAAATGGAATGGAAAGGTTAACGTTTAGCTTCAGTTTTCAACCCACGTCCATGTCACTCAAACTGAAGTAGGTAGGCAGGGAAATTCCAAAGGCTAAAATGCCACTGACTTGACAAAACATAGACCCATTTGTGCCAAATCACTCCAATCTTACACATTTAATGCTCCATAAAAATAACAGATACATTGAACAATTTGGAGAAAACGGTGAAAGATGTCTTTGGGGTTGCTTTTGACAGGAAATGCAATGTGACAATTGACCAAGGCCAGTCATTATCAAGTAAGTGAGCAACAAGATGAGTTGAGCTGGAAAGGAAATGGCCGAGTGGGTTTTAGATCACTCACTATGTGACTTTATGGTCCAAAGCCACAGCCACCAGATGACAGTTCAAAAAAATTTTTTTTCCATTTCAAAATGCCTGGCTTGGGAATTGGGCATTTTATTTCTATCAATACAATTACCTGGGTATGATTTTTACCAGCACTGGAAAGAGAGCACGGTCCCATTTTAGAAAATAATAAAGATTTGCTCCTCCACTCCCAACACAGCTTGCTTGCTCATCCTAAAAAATGACACTATTGCTAGGTGATGTCTACTGCTATGGACCTAATCTTTAATCCAACTAGAGTGCTCATTATGTTAGCAAGTCTGGTTATTAACTGTGATGGCGAGTTAAACTGCGGTGCTTTCAGAGCTAGAGACTGGCTAGTGGTCAGGTAAGCTATACCTCTTGCTTCTCTGGTCGAGTCCACGAAGCCTGGAGAGAACAAGATATAAAACACAACAAGAAGGCAGTAAAATGTCACATGTTGCTTTAGAGAACTCATACTGCATTCCGTGCACATGCAGCTTCTTTTTAATTCAGAATTTTCCTTAAGGCCCACTTTCAATGATATGATTATCCCCCAGATTTAATTTAGAAGTTAGCTGATGTTCAGCTCCCCCCACCTTATGCACCTTAAATGTTTAATTCAAAGGTGAAGGCATCCTAAACTCTGTAGGTATATATATATAGATATGTAGATACCAGAATACATATTCAACTCCTCCTATGCTAAGCATCCTAAATAGTCTTCATAATATTTGAGGGCACTATCAATTATTATCAAATCATCTAGGGTTACTTAAAGAGTAGACTTGTCCTCTGAATGTGATAGGCAGATTATCACACATATACTAAAGTTATTAAATGCTCATGCATTTTACAACTCAGCATGCATTTAATTAAAAGTGATTGAAAAAGAAGAAGAAGCAAGGAGTGGAGAGATACAATGAGTATGAAGTATTTGAGACTATGGGTCAGGAAGCTCTGAGGTTACTAAATGCTGAATGCTGACAGTGGGGCTTTAGAGCCTAAAGTTAGAAAGGTCCCGGATGGCATTTGGATGGAAGCGTGGACCCTTTTTATCTAACATGCCACTCGTGAGAGAGTAAGAAAACTCATGCACATGAGGATTTGGGGAACTTTCTCCTTGGGTCTAGATTGGTTAATTTATCTAGCACAGGGATATTTTTTTTCCTTTGGGTGGCATTCCTGACTGACTGTCCCTTCAGATGGCAAAGGACACAGAAGATGCTAGAAACAGGGAATGTGAATGAATCAGCAAACACTAAATGTAAGACACTTGAGAGATGGGGGATGGAATGTTGGGTTACATCATATTATGTTGGGATGAGGGGAGATGTAAGAACAGAACAACATGCACAGATCAACATCATGGTGGGCAAACAAGTCAGCTATAGTTGCCAGTTCTACAATGCTAGAAAGCTTGCTTGTCACAGGCCAGGGCTGTGCCAATCAAGACTTTTATTTATTTTTAATGGGCCAATATTATCTATGGTTCTTTATTTTCAAATTATATTCCTTGGTTTCTCTGTCCCAAACCACTAGCATTCTGTGGCTTTTAAAATAAACTATTGCTAGGGACACACATTTCTAGTAGCCTGATTCTTCTCTCTGTGTTTGGTGGATTGTAGCAAATGTCTGTCTTGGCTCCAACAATTAGGTGGTGTGGCCCATTTAAGGCAATCTGATGTTTAAATCTATATACTTGGGAAATAAATTAGGATATGATTATTATGCTCCAAATGTTGTTAGGTTTTGGTTGTTTCAATACTTATTTTCATTGTTACATATACATATACATATTTAGTAGTTTATGTGTACCTAAACTAAAGCATTGCACTTTTATATGCATATCACTCATTCTCTATACATTTGCCCCTATCTTAGCCAGATCAGGCTCTGATCACTGTATGCAAAACATTGTCTGATGTCTTAAAGTGGGCACCAGGCTTGTACCCAATCAGAAACTCTCATTAGTGAAAAAAAAAAAAGTGTGGGCTTCAAAAGAACTCAGAATTTCAAAAGGTCTCTCTTACTTGTGGACACTCTGCCAGCCTAAGACTGGAGGCTCACAAAGCTACCTCTCACATGTCCTATCTGTCTCTTTTGACCTTAACTGCCCCCCCTCTTTTTCCTTAATGGTAAATGAGCCATATCCTTTCTATAGAATCATCTCAAAGGCACAAAGATATTCAAATGGCAAATGAAGTTTTTTTGTCTGGATGGGGTTGAGTATGTAGATCATAATCCTTCAGTTTCAATATGTAAATGGTGCCTGGGGTTTAGCAACACTCAAACACCTGGCACTATTTAAGATCAATCTGTATAGGATGAGGAATGACATGCCACAGGTGAATAACCTTTGAAAGAATCACAAACACCTTCACAAACATGTGAAGACTAACCCATAATGATGTTCACTTTTCTCTTTTTCTCAGGATAGCAATGACTGCTAAGAACTATATGATATTTTGGATATCTGGTCTACCTCACTGATCTCAATCATCCAAGCAATCACCCTCATCTTAGCAATGATGAGATATGATGGGAATAGTTGCTGACCTGAGCCAACTCCACTTGCTGAAGCTTAATGTATTGATGGGACTCAGTCCAGAGACATGATTAAGGGTATGGTGTGACTATACTCACATTGAATTTATTCCTTCTTCCCCTTTCTAAGGGATATTCTATCAGAAATTCACTACATCTCTGTTGGTGAAATCCTTGCCTTCTCCCATCGAGAAGGGCAGCATTATGGTCAATCAATGATATGAAAGACAAAGCTTCTTTAATTCATTTATACTCCATGCTGAAGGAATCTGAACCTTCAGCAAAAGCTACCAGGATTACAGAGTACTGTGGTACCATGACATCAAGTCCATCATTTTCTGAGCCATTGTCTTGGAAGGAAACTGAGGACTCTGAACTTGGACCTTATCTCAGTAAATATTTTCATCAGAAACTCAGATATTTTGAATAAGGGTTCACATAAGTCTGGAAGCAATAGTATCACAAATGTTAGGTGACAGCTGCACTGGCAAAGCTGCTGAACTACCTGCACTTGAACTTCATGCTAGGGTCCCCATTGGCTCTTCTACCTCATTATTTTTAGCATGCGGATATAACATAAGGGGAGTCATCTGAGCAGAACTACTTCAACTTTCATACTTGTTAGTAAAGTTCCCATGAACAGTCAATCATAACTGAAAGATGGTCTGAAATAGTAGTTCTCCAACCAGAGAGTGTTTCAGTAACTTACAGTTGGCTATAGGTATTTGGGTAGGGGTGAGAAATGTCAGCTATCTTATAATGCATAGAACAGTCCCAGTGAAGGGAGAATCTTAAATGGCCAAAATGACTGTGGCTGAGAAACAAAGCTGCAACAAGTAAAATACATATAAAATTCTGTGTTGTTGCTTAAGCAATCAATTTCATGAGACTAGGACAGAAGAGAATTAGCCCAAATGTAGTTCACAGATAGGCCTACACATTCTAGGTGACCATGATGTGACATGACCCAAGGGCTAAATGCTACTTTGACTACCAGATGGTGTCTGGATCAAGATGATAACCCCATTGAGCTCTGTTCAAATTGTCAGGGCAGAGTAAGAATTTTATTGAGTGCTAGTGAAGTGAAGCTATCAAGTTACAGGACTACTAGAAGGGATGAAATGTATGGATATCCTGATTTTAGAGTTGTCTTCCATTCCTCTAATTCAACATTGCTAGTAATTTCAATACATAATTATGTATAATGCAACTTTAGGTGTGAAAGAATGTGAGTAGATGTTGCCATAGTAAAAATGATTTGGACTAAAGTTCAACCTGCTCACAGACAGACCATGTTTTATCATTTCTATCCATCTACAATATCAGAGTGACATCCAGCTTCTTTGATGTCAATATTTAATTAGCAGAAGTGGCAAATTTTATTACATAGGGTTTTATTTAAGCCAACACAGTAATGTGGCAGTATCATGGACCTATCTGGAGGACTTGTTCTGACACTGATTGAATCATGGTCCATTAATGCCACTTCTAGCAAACCTGAAGCTAGTCTACAGTAAAAGAAACCGTGATGTAATCTGTGCTGGGCTTTAATGGCTATCTCAGATCAAGACAGATGATCAATATAGAAAACTGAGTTGTTAAAAAAAATCAGTACCAACTGGGCTTGTGATGGTCTTTTCTGATGTCTTCAGTCTCAATATTTATGGAATATGAGTATATATTAGTTCCTAGCTATTTATTTTCATTTGATAAAAATGAAATCATAAGTATAAGCCAGAAGTGCCAACCTATTAAAGACAAACCCCAAGTAGGCACAAATCTTAATAATCTTTCTTGTCTAGTTTAACTGTTGAGCTATTTCTAAAAAAGACACAGAACTTAAAAACGTCGTTCATCTGAAATAGATGTTTTCGTCCTTCACTGTAGGTCAGAGATACACACTGGGTCACTTGGACGAATCTATTCGGAAATCTAATATAGAAAGACTGGCCAAGCAGTGGCCATGGGAGTTAAGCCCTGAAGTCTACATTGGGTCCATGTAACACACAAAGGGAGCCAGAATCTTAGCTAGGAACTTAATTTCAGTGTTGATAAAGAAATTATGAAAGCAAACACCTCACTTCTTAATTTAGCTGGCTTTTGCAGATCAAACAGCATATGCGAGTTTCAAAAATAGTTAGCAGTTCCTCAGTTGAGTTTTTGTTAAGCTGGATTCAACTCTGGGTATGAAAGTTGCAAAAAGAGGAATGGGATATTTGAATAGTGCTTTCTGTTCTTTATCTTGCTTTTTTGTTACTGAGGCAGTTCCTTAAATGCAGATCCCATTTTTAGCCCTGCTATTTAATATTATCCCTTTTGGCTTTATTTCAGTTTGTTTCTAGAGGTTTCCTTTAGCTAGGCAAAAGAGTGCATATCTATCATGTTTGTCATTTTGGTCAATAGGCTATCCATTATAAACATTCTTTAAGGCTATTACTCCTGAGTAGGTAACCAAGCTTTGGCTACCAAAACAAAGCCCCTTACTACAGGAGATTAAACATAATATTAGAGAGGTGCCATAAAACCATCATCATTATTATTTTGGTTATGTAGTGCTTTGGACTAAATTTAGGGGCATATGCTCTTCTCCTAATAAGATCTACACTACTCTGCAAAGTAGCCCTTTCTTCTCATTTCTCAGCTCACTCAGTAGCAAAGGGCTGCATGATGTGGCATGGTCACCCCAATATTTATATATCACCACTAATAAAGATAGCTTTCCAACTGCCTACAGATCCATGCACCTTAAAGTTAAATGTTTGTAGCCATTTTAACTTCCTAGGGATTTGCTACCATGTCCTTAAACTTTGGTGAATATATTAAAGACCCAGATATAAGCACCATCATCTAGAAACTGCTAATTATTTTTGCCTTTAAAACAAAATGGAATCCAAATGTGACCAAGAATACAGGCAGACACAAAGGCAACCGAGCTTTTGTGCACAGAATCCATACAGCATGAGTATATGAGACGCAAGAAAGAGAATTAATAGACTCATTCTGATCCCTGTTGTTTCTGGGAGACACTTTGCTGGGTGTGCCTGAGCTGATGAAAATATCATCTTGTGTCCAGAATTTTGCTTGTCCTGGCTCCTTACAGCTCCACAAGCCTGGGTCAGAAATTCATTATTGCCTCCTTCCAAAAACATCTACCTTGACCATATCCACTGCCAACATGCCCTTCCCCACCTATACAGGGAACAGCACCCATCTCACTGTGAGGGGATGTTGATTAGGCCACAACCAGGCAGGCTGGAGAAGGGAGGTTGCAGGACCTGCTGCGGCTATGGGTGACCACATCCCATCTTCCCATCTCCCAAAGAGAACTGGGCATGGGGTAAACCTGAGGTGCTTCAAGTCTGCATTCCATAGTCCTGAAATTCTTGGGCGACATTGTACCTTTTCTTCATTGCTGATGTTTCGGGTGGAAGTTCTCCAGGTGATGGAGGGGATGGGATCTCCTGAGGCTTCACAGGTCAGAGTGACTTGTTCCTCTAGCTCCATGGCTGTCTGATTCTCTACATAGGTGATTTTGGGTTTTGCTGAAAAGAAAAAAAAAATCATTTTGATGAGTTTATCTGGTTATTTAGCTCTTGGGATTTAAGTGATAGCATGCAACCATTTTAAAAGTTTTCTTATTTACTAAATGTAAGTCTCAATTCTAGATATAGCAGGAGACACAGAACTGCACCCCCAATGGTTCTGGCAACATTGAAATGATAGTCATAGACACATCCTCTGGAATAGTACAGACAGTAGGGTGCTTGAGGCCTGCTGCAGAAGAATGCTACCCTGGCTCAAGTCTTCACATGGAGATGGCTTTGGGGCTGGGACATGAGGTTTCCATCATATCTGGGTGGAATGGAGTCATTCTAAGCCCAGAAAACTTCTTGAAGGAAAGCAAAGGTGCAAAAGGAAAGGGAGAAGGAGGTAGAAAAGGAGGTGTAAGTAGGAAAGAAAATGATAGTTAGCTAGCTAGCTAGCTAGACAGACAGACAGATAGATAGGTGTTTCATGGAATAAGAAGACAATGTCCAGCAGTTGGTATTTTACCCACAAGTCACTGAGACCCATGGCTGGAGTTTCATCAAAGTCATGGAGTGGTAACTGAACCCCAAGAAGATTAATCTAAGGGGATTCTAGAGTGGAGAAACCTCGAGGAGAAGCCATTTTAGAAGCACCAGGCCCATGCTGTAGGAAAGGAAGGGGAGGAACTGAGCTGAGTTCATTTTCCAAATGTTTGGAGTAATGCAAGGAACACATGTAGTACAAGGCTGAATTAAATGTGAAAACATTAGAGAAAATTGAATTTTCCTAATTTAAAACAATTATACTCAGAAATTGCTGCACATTCCACTGAAGAGAAAAGATAAGGCTGTACGAACAACTTATTTCACTACTAGAGAGAAAGGCAAGGCAAGAGAGACACAAAGCCAGAGTGACAGGTGGCTTTGGAAATCACTACATTTATTTTATATTTAAATTCATAGTCACTGCAAGTCAGCTAAGAAAATATGGCCTGAGGACATACGAATTCAAGTCCTCCATGTTGCTTCAACAAACAAAATCTGTGACAAATGGTCTACATTCAGATAAAATCACCTGAATGGCTCAAGTGGCTTCCCAAAGTTACCGCAAGACACTTAGCAAATTATTTTGTCATGCTGGCACACACACATATGTTAATCCAGCATGGCAAAATGATGCTGAGACAATGATTCCATCAGCTCTGGATGAAGCTTTCTGTAGGAAAATTTTATGACTTACCTTGATAAAGATGCCTTGTAAGAGGTCACAACTTAAACCATATGGAATTAAGCTTTACTACTATCAAATTACAAGTTTTAGAGGGTAAGATAAAGCGAAGGCAAAATATGAGTTGACTCTCTAGGCTATTAAAGTGACCAGATGAAGAGGAATGGGAAAACGGACTTAAAAACGAAAACAAAACAGATTCTTTCAAAAATGATTTGGGGGCTGGAGCTAGCCAGATGGCTGAATTTCTGGAAACTGTAATTTTGAGTCTGAGATTTAGACAGTCTTATGGACCCTTTCATGGCCCTCAGCACCTTGTCCCCTCAGTGAAAGAGTAACAGAGGAAGATCTGGTGCCACCTATTAACATTTGGTTTATGTGTTCCTGTCTCCTAGATGCCTACAAAGACTATCTTGTACAGGCATTTGGAAAGGGGGCTACATTCTTCTACAGTTTTATTGAACACAGTGGTGTCCGGTTTTTGTTTGTTTCTACGGGGTCTCACTACACAGTTCTGAGTAGCCTATTAAGTTGCTTTGAGACCAACAGTGGCCTCAAATTCACAAAGATCCACTTGCCTCTGCCTTGCAAAGTGCTGAGAATAAAAACAGGTGTTCCCAACACACAATTTAAAAAGACAAATTTTGATAACAAAGAGAGCTTTGATAGGCGTGATTTAGTCTCTCTCCCTGGAAGCAGCACAATTGTCAACACTAGAGGAAGGCGGTGAATGCCTTGAGACATCACAGGTGTACAGGTCTGATTATGAAATGCCTTCACAAGCTCATACCTTTGAACATTTGTCCCTTGCTGCTTGGAAAGGTTATGACACTTTTAGGAGGTAGAACCTTGCTGAAGGAAGTACACCACTCAGTGTAGGCTTTGAGGTCTCATAGCCTGGCCCCACTTCCTGCTTCCTGTCTGCTTCTTGTGTGTAGATGAAATATGATCTCTCTGCTTCCTGTCTATTAGGAAGGCCTCCTGCTCCTGATGTCATGCTTTCCAACTGTGATGGGCTGTGTCTCCTTTGGAACTGTAAACCAAAATAAGCCCTTTTCTTTTCGAAATTACTTTTTTTTTTTTGGTATGAGGATTCTATCTAACGAACTGAAAAAAACTCCAATAAAGACTTTCTAGATAATAATTACATGGAGACAGAAAACACTATTGGACAAATAGGAACATATATGCAGAGCATCTTTTGCTTGTAAAAGACTACCTCCTTCTACATGCTAGCACCAAGGGGGAATTTCTCCAAGTTTCATCTTTCCCATAGTGCCTCGTTTCAGTTTAAGCTCTCATCAGCCCCTGGAGTTTACACGCTTCTGTTATCTCTCTGCTTCCCTGAGACCTAGTGCTTCCAGTGGCTGCATTTCTTCTTGTATGAGCTATTTTTCAGTGGCTGTAATAAAACCCCATGACTAAGACAATTAATAGAAGAAAGTGTTTGTTTTGAACCATAACAGTAGGAGCAAAAAACTGAGAGCTCACATCTTTAAGCTAAGCAGAGAGAGCCAAATGGAAGCAATACTTCCATTTGGGAAGATATACTTCCAAATCCTGCCCCCAGTGACTTACTTCCAACAGCAGGAACATACTTTCTAAACTTCCCCAAACAGTGCCACCAACTATGGGCCAAGTGTTCAAATGCCTGAGCCCATGGGGAACAGTTTTCATTCAAACCACTACCTGTGACTAGTCCACAGTTCTTCAGTTTGCCACTCGGCAACAGCCTAGCCCCATCCTGCCAAGACTCTGTGAGTCTTATCCAAGGAGAACCCTCCTTCAGCCCTTTGGTTGTCTCTCACTGTCTTTTGCCATCATTCACAAGAGCTGTTTAGTTACAGGAGTCAGGGAAGCAAGATTTCTGCCTCCCACTGCACATGCCTCAGCTCATGGCACCGCAAGATCTCAAGATCATTAGCACAGGCTTTACAATATCTGCAGAGGCAAAAATATGTTTTCAGAAGGACCCACAAAGAACAGTGATGGAACCTCAGAGCCAAGGTAGAATCCATCTTAAAGAAAGGAGCCCTGGGCTCTTTCAGCCCTAGCTCTAACTAGGGCTCTGTATCCATAGCAGGTCCCTATCACAGGGTGCCATTCAGTTATAATCACAACAGTTTCTGCTCCAGTCATGTTCTTTGTATACTGACTGCCACCCTTTCTGAAGCCATCAGAGGTCTCATCTCTTCTTTGCTACCCAAGGTGTAGGCCTCTTTCCTCTTCAACATCATGAAGCTTTGCTACTGCTGAGTAAACCTTCTCAGTCCACCTCAGGGATGACCCATGGCAGCAATCTAGAAGGGAAAGGCTAGATAGTGAAGAAGATTCCCTAACAATCTGTCTCCCAACCACCAAAGTTCTTCAGGCTCTCTCACTTCATAATAGATGTTTCAACCAATGGAGACCAACAAAAGGAGGAGGGTACGGAGGATTAGATGGTGGAAAGGAGAGAGAACCGAGAGAGGCAGGAGCTCAAAAAAGCCAGGTGAGCTCTCTTTGTGGCATTCTGGAGGAGGCTGATCCTGAATTTGATATACCTGCTACAGGTCCATGATTTCCTTGTGCTGTCCTTAAGAGCCCAGCCACCTGTGCTCTGCCTGCCCCACTGTGCTGTCTCGAGAACACTCTAGCGGTCTTGGGAAAGAAATGGTGTGTGTGTGTGTGTGTGTGTGTGTGTGTGTGTGTGTGTGTGATATGAAGATACACAGAAGTATAGGGACGTAGGATATATGTGTTCACTCAGGATAAAGATTGGGAAGGCATATCCTGTCTTACATGTTTCTTTATCCTAATTTCTCTTTTCCTTACCACTTCCTCTGGGCCTTACCCATTCTGCTCACTCTCCCATGGCCCCACTTAACTCCTCATTTACTCATTACTGTCCTTCCTGCCTGAGTCAGTCATTAGCACCAAAGGGGCCTGGGAGAGGAACAAGAACTGTACTCATCTGACCCTGCTAGAGCTGAGTATGTTCCACAGAGAAGCTTCTCAAGTGCTAGATTATGATCCTACGAAGTTGCACAATTGCAAAGCAGAGATCACAAAAAGTTTGGCAACAGTAAAATATTTCTGGACATGAAAAGACCATGAATTAATTCAAAATCAAATGCGTAACAAATCTGAGTTGCTTGTGGCAGTGTTTGCCCATGTCACACTGTGTGACTTCACTGCAGCCTGGGTTCTGGAGGCTCAGCATGTATATGCCGTCCACCACACAACACCAACAAACACTGGCTGCAAAGCCTCGGCTCGGATTCAAGACTATTGTATGTTATGAATTGTAGTGTTTTTACTACACATGCAAAGTTTTCTGCTCTTACAGAAACATAATGGCTTAATTATGTAAAACAACAACTTCAAATATTTTCCTACCCCATTCCTCAGTATGTAAGTACCAAATTAGTGTGTCTTTGGATAGTATTGTGTCAGAATGTGTGATTTTAAAAATTGCTATTTGAGTTGCTGACTTGAGTTTCACAGAAAAATTATTCAATGGGTTTTGGCTTGGGATTGGAGACAGAATTTCCAACAATTTCTGAAATGGTCCTAAACAAATTTCTGCCATTTTATACTGTGTATTTATGCAAAGTGGTGTTCTCAGCCTTGATGATTACAAAACAAAAACATCAAGAACACTGAAGACAGTCTGTGTCCTGTAATAACAAATATTCAGCCAAGATTTAATTCTTTATTAAATCAACAAGCAAGCCCAACTCATTGGTATGCAGTTATGCTTTCAGTTTTTAATAAGTGCAAAATCATATGTATACCAAAACCATAATTTTGAAATAAGACTGTTTAAAAATTTCTCAGGTAAACAAAAGGAGTTACAAGTGTAAAACATCTAGAGAACCCATGAGCAACATAGTGGTCGAGAGTCAGCACAACATCTCTCATATTCCTATCCATTCCCTAGGCCTTGGACAGTTAGCATAGATGCCAACTGGCTGCATGGAGATGTAGCCCCCTCTGCTATCCCAGGATATGGACTGAGAAGTCAATCTTGTATCTCCTTGTAAGGAGCACCTGAGCTTCCTGTGGCATTTGCAAAATAGGAGCAATAACTGGGCTACCTCAAAGGGCCATGGTGAGGATTGAAAAGGCTGATTTGAGGCTATGTGGCATGGCATGGGATAAATGTACCTTCTGCATTCTGGGTATCATTGTTATTATCACTTGATAGGGACAATTCTTTAAATGTTTCCCAGAGACAAGTGAGGCTAACGGGGTCCCAGGATCATCTCCTATTGCATGGGTCATGCTTCAGTCAAATGCACTCATGGCTATTCCTTCAATTATTCAGCTGCTCCTGCCAACTGTCCTAGGTGCTAAAGGCATACGTGTGAGCCAGACAGGCAGCGTCCCTGTCCACAGCAGCTCACATGCAACACTCTGCATTTTCCTCTATTCTGCCTAGGGCAAGTAATGCCTGAAGCACTTGTCCCACCATTCTACATTTCAAGCAGTGCATCATTTTGATGACTAACCGATGCCAGACAGGAAAGAAAATCTTTCCTATAAAACACCATCATGCTGTTGCTATGGAGTCATTATAGGGGGCTGTCATTTAAAATGTCAGTGTTGGACATCTACACATGACTGAGAATCTACTGATGGGAACAGACTCCATGAGATTTTATTTTAAACTTGGCAATGGCCAGGTTCACAGCAAACACTCAAATGGGTAATTAGGATCAACACTATCTATTTTCTTTTGTTTGTTTATCTCTATCTTTGTGTTCTCAGGGTCCAATTCTACTTATCTCTCTAGCCACTGTATCTAGGTGGAAAGGTTCTCAATATTTCTTAAATGAAGGGATAAATTAACAATCACATCTGCCCATCTCTATAATCTAGAAAACACAATGATGTCGATTGGGGAGACTAATCTGAAGTAGAGAGAAAACAGCATCAATAATGGCTCTTTATAGGCTAGGAAGACAGCTCATTCAGTAAAGTGTGTGCTTTTCAAACATGAGGATCTTAGTCTAAACCTCGGACCCACATTAAAAAAAAATGGTTTAGCTGGCCATACTTGTAATTCCAGCAGTTGGGGAGGTGAAAACAGACAGATCCTTGGAGCTTGCTGCTAGCTAGCATAAGTATTTTAGCAAGCACCAGCTCAAAGAGACCCCCATCTTCCCAAACAAGGGGTTGACGCCTGAGGAATCACCACCAAGTTTGACCATTGGTTTGCATGCTCATGGACATACATGTGCAGCTGCACACATATACACACAAACATGCACGCGCACACATGCACATATGCATGTTTCTCATGAAATTTAGTGTTTCTTCTCATGACGTGTTTGCAGACCCAGCTGTGGTCAGTGAACAGAGGATCTGGGCCGTTGGCATAAAAGCACCTGATTTTCATCAGTTTGTTTACATACCGTTCTCCCTCAGAGTAAACCAGCAGGTCCCAACCTTGGCTCCTCGGTGTACATTTTAGCAGCTGAGAGGGACAGGTACCAGAGAGGTCTCTCCAGCCTCAAGCTAACCAGCATAGTTTACAATGCAGCAGTTTAACTGTGTCTTTTAGACAAATAAACAGAGATCTTTGGGAGCCACGAGGGTGCATATTTCTTCGCGATAAATCCCCCTTTGCGCAAGCAAGCTAAAAATGCATTTCAGTTCTGAAATGCCTGGAAGTTTGGTGAATTTACAAAGAAAAAAATGAGTAGAGTCGGGAAAGCTTTTCCTGTGACTTTTCCATGACAGTGGCACACAGGCCAGTAGAGGAGGCAGAAAAGGTAAGGCAACCAGCCAGGCACGGATACTTACTAAGGGATCGTGAGGTGAGTCTGGAGCTGTATAGAGGATCAGGGATAAAGCAATGTATAAGACAGCCATTATTCCCCCAATATACTTTGAATGCTGATAGAGACTGGAGATAAGCAATCCCCCAAACAAACTTGTCAAGAGGGTTAGTTCAGGAACTTTCAGGTGCACAGAGAAGACAATGAGTCCTGAAGGGTGCAGTAGGAAGGTAGCCTGGATAGGGAGAGGCAACAGCAGACTGGTGAAGAAAGGGTTAATGGGGAGGATGTGCTAGAGCTGAAGTCTGAGTCATGACAAGAAGAAGCTCAGAGTAGACCCTTCCAGGTCTTTCTATCTCCCCCTTCTTTCATAAGATTCCCTGCACTCTGCCTGAAGTTTGGCTCTTACTCTCAGCATCTGCTTTAACACCCTACTAGGTAGAGTCTTTCAGAGGCCCTCTGTGGTAGGCTCTTGTCTTGTTCCTTGTTTTCACCTTCTTCTGCTGTCTATCCTGTTTGCCTTTCCGAATGAGGATTGAGCATCTTACCCAGGGTCCTCCTTCTTGCTTAGCTTCTTTAGGTGCATAGAGTTTAGTATGCAAGGAGAACAACTAAACTAAAATATCTGAGCCCAGGGGTCTTTTATGAGACTTATACTCCAACCAAAGACCATTCATGGAGATAACCTAGAACTCCTGCACAAAAGTAACCTGTGGCAGCTCAGTCTCCACATGGGCTCCCTAGTAAGGGGAACAGGAGCTGTCTCTGACATGACCTCAGTGGCTGGCTCTTTGATCACCTCCCCCTGAGGGGAGGGCAACCTTACCAGGCCACAGAGAGGAATACTATGAAAGACAGTCCTGATGAAACCTGATAGACTAGGGTCAGATGGAAGGGTAGGTGGTCCTCTCCTATCAGTGGACTGGGAAAGGGGGTTGGGAGGCGATTAGGGAGAGAGGGCGGGACTCCAGAGGGAGGGTGGGATTTGGAAGGGATGAGGGTTGGGGCTACAACTGGGATACAAAGTGAATAAATTATAATAAATACAAAACTTATATAAAAAAGAAAAAATGACAGTTTGCTCAGAATGGAACAACTTAAATGTTTTTTTAAATAATCAGGCATGAAAACACATACCTCTAATACAAGACTTTTGGATAAAGACAGAAAGGTGGGTAGAGATAAGTTTACCTCTCTCCACCCTTGTGGCCTTTCCCTAGTATCTGAAAGTCAGTATCGAGGATGTTCTAGAATGTACAAGCTATAAAGTTGTAAATCAGAAACAAACAAACATAAAAAGAAGCTCAGAGCAGGCCTATCTTAGGATATGATAGTCCTGGCAGAATAGCCTCAAAAGCAATGTCTCTAAGATAGGGAATTAGCTTTGAGGCAGAGACACAAAGGAGGCTGGCATTGTTGGAGAGCCTTCTCCATGGGGCATGGGAAGGAAAATCTGGGGCTAGAGTACAAGGCAGGAGTAAGTTGGGCCATGGGATTAGTCTGACATTTACTTTATTTGCAACAAGGGTCTTAAAAAGAGGACTGGCATGGAGGGCATTCTGGACACCATGAGTAGACTGAGGGGAGCCAAGGTGGGGAACAGGGACACCAGCTTGGAGGTTGTGTGTTCTTGAAGAGGGCTGACTGGCTTCTTGGACTGAGGGTGAGGTGTCAGAGCAGACAGTAAATGGTTGCCTCATGGATGCATGCCATGGCAGTGTGGGCATGCCTTTCTGATAGACAAAATGTGCTGAGTTGGAGGAATTGTGGCAGAACAGAGGCCCTGACCCACACAACACTATACCTACCAAAGACCTTGAGGTGGATGGAGGCGTCCTGCTCACCAGCCTTGTTCTCAGCAATGCAGACATACTCAGCCTCGTCGTTTTTGTCCACATTTCTGATGGTCAGTTCAGAACTGTCGTCACTGAAGACGTGCTTCTCATCATCTTCCTCCTCATTTTCTATGGGTTCCCCATCCCTGCAGTGTGGAAATGTGAAGGGTAATGATTCTGAGCATGGGGTAAAGAGGTTAATTTCTGGTAAGTTTCCACAGAATGCAGACTGTGATGATGGGACAGGCTCAGTCTATATGAAAGGGAAAGACTTCTGAGTAGCATTTCCTATTATATGCTTTCTATGCCTCTCCCCAATCTTTTGAGTCTGTGCAAAGACTATCCATAGCACTCAGAAAAAATTCATAGAACCAGCACCACAAGCTACCCCTACCCCCATAAGACTGAAAATGAAAGACTAATCAAAGACCCTGAGGAAGAGAACTTCCCAGAAAAGAACCATTCCTGATACTTTAGGAAGCCCATATTCATGCCACAGAAAAGCCCACAGGGAGTGAGTTCTAAAGGTCCCCTTCTTCTCTCCCTCATGACACAAGGCATAAGCCAGTTTCTTACTTTGTCCAGCTCATGGTGGGCTCTGGGAAACCATCAGCATCACACACCAAGGTGACAGACTGGCCCAGGTTGGCAGTGGCGTTCACGATGCTTTGTCTGGCCTGCACAGTGGGTGGTACTGAAGGAAAGAAGGATGTCAGAGGTAGTTGTACAGAACTTAAAATAATCTGGTGGCCCCAAGAAGAGGCATTTGGGGTCCTGCAGGTCACAGTGTCACCACCTGAGGGTTAAGAGTCCTGGACATCTACAATGTTAGTATAAATGATTTAAAGGCACATGGCATTCTAAATAATTAATGTAAACTGAACAAAAAAATTGCCCACAAACGTGCATTATCATTTTTAAGAGTTCAGCCCCTATATTGCATCTTAACTCATATTCATGTGGTGTTTTATTTACAGTGGCTATTTGTTGTGATGTATTTTCTCAATCAATAGACACCACATAACTGCGAGGGTTGGTGAGACTTGATGTTAAAAGGAGGCTGTGTTTTCCAGGCTGGCAAAGTTAGAAAATGCAATGCCATGGTCAGGTTGGTATGCTTCCGAAGGACACCAGCTCAGCAGAGTGACATTTCTCTGCAACTGTCATAAACAACTTTGTGCACGAAGTGCTTCCACGGAAGGAATGAGAGCAGGAGAGTTTGGCAAGAAAACACATATCAATAACCAAAACAATTCAAATGTGATTTACTTATTTTCTTAGCACTGACATTATAATTTCCTGTAAACATTTTGCAAATGTCAGATCGATGCTAAGGGTGTGTTTATTTGACACTGCAAATTAAGATTAATAAGCCCACAGACCATGGATGCTGACTATTCTGAGACCTGAATTGATTGCAGTATTTTCTCTGCCCATCAAACCAAGGGAACTAACTTCCCAATGATGGTAACATCAAGGGCACTGGGGATGAAGGAGGATTTATTAGTAGAACGGAGAGTTTTTAGTCCTGCTAGACAACGGAGGGCACTTAATATGTACAATTGAGAGGCGACACCAAAGACTAGTGAAGTAATGAGAAAATGTCCCCCTCCTGGAGGCTATGATGGTGAAGAAGAGGTTCTCCTCAGATGCAGGAATGACCCAGAATAGGTCGACTCCCAAGAGAACTGGAAGAGACAAAACCCAGGTTGTAGCAACAGAGAGAACAGGAAGACAGTCAGATCTCCTCACCATTCACAATGACCTGAATGTCCTTGAAGTTGATCTCCCCCCGGGCCAGAATCCTGCCCTCACAGCGGTAAGTGCCCTCATCTGTTTTCTTGATGCCCCGGATCTGCAGGTAGTTGTTGGACAGGACGATGAATCGGACTGGAAGAGACGAGAGGCAGATTCGCCCAAGGTCAGTCCGAGAGCTCCACAGTCAGGCAAGTTAGCAGAGCCTCCTGCTCCTGCCGTTTATTGGTTTTGTGTTTGTTATTTTTGAGACAGAGTTTCACAATGTAGTCCATTCTGGCCTGGAACTCACTATGAAGCCCATGTTTGCCCCAAACATGCAACCATTTCCCTGTATCACCATCTCCATGCTGGAGTTAGAGACACATGACCCAACCTCATCTTTCCTCCTATCATCAGTGTTATGAGGTTCCGTAATGAGAAAAGACCCTGGCCCTGAAATAAAGATGAGACCCAGTCTACTAGGGATGATGTGTCTTTTGCTTTGGAGAGACAACCAGGTGCTTGAACACACTAGTTACAGATACACATCTGTTTACCACCCAGAAATTACATGTGGGCTCTGGGCCCCTGAATCTGTGTTTGGATGAAATGCCTCAGGGACTGGGTAGGGGTGGAAACCTAGGGTACCTGGTGGCTCATAGGAGCTCAGGTCTTACCATCTTTTTTCAGGATAACGTCTCGGCCCTTGTGTTTCCAGATGATAGTTGGGGGCAGGGAGCTGACTACATCACACACGATCACAGCATCTTCGCCTTCCTTAAACTCCTGTGGGGTTGGTGCATTCTTGAACATGAGCTTCTCTGAAAGACATCAGGAGGAATAGGATGAGGAAAAAAGATACCTTTTCACTAGAACTGTGCTGCCCGGATTTCAATCCCAGGACAGTTTTTACTCATAATTCAGCAGCATAAGAGAGGCTCCTGCTCAGCACTTGGTCTTTGATTGAGAAGGGTCTCTAGAGGGGAATGGGGCCCCTGCTGTAGAGACGACGCACACAGACATAGTGATGAGTGCCACATCTACCTTACTATGACAGTAAGGGCCATTGGTTATTTTTGGCCTCCCATGCTGACCCCACCCAATTTTCTTGCAGCAGAGAGAATTCTGAAGAGTGAGAGCCAGCTTCATGGCAATAAATGCTATGGCAGTTAGAAGGCAATGAGATTGCCAAGTCAAGGCCACCTTTCAGGGGCAATGGGAACTCGGAGCAGCATCAAGTGTTCACATATAATGCTCCATCTCATTAGGTCAGTGTGCTATATCACCAACAAGGGTAGTGGGATAAGAAGGAAAAACCTGAACTGTATGTCTGTCATTGTCACATAGACGGCATGGAGAAACTGACAATAGCCCTCTGGGAACTGTGTGGCTTGTTGACAATGGAGGATAGTGAGAATATAGCGACAATTGGTAGAAACCAGCCTTATGAGTTCTGGGCTGATCATGGACCATTTGAGAATATATCAGATCTCTTAGCAACTCAGGGACAGAAAAGGAACCACCAGGCTTTTACTGGTCCTCCTGTTGCCACCTCTCTGACTTTGCTACCCACATATGTACCTTTCTAACAAAGGTGGGAATGGAAAGTACATATGAAGGCTCTTACGGAAGATCTTCACGTTGACAGTGGCCTCCGACTGGGTGCCGTCCTCTGCAGTTACCACACACTTGTAAATGCCGGCATCATCAATATTGGCATTATAGATGGTGAGTGTCGAGGAGTCATCATCATTCCACACCACTGAGATCCGCTGCTGATTTGGGTTCAGCTTTTCCCCATTCGGGGAGTACCAGGAGATGTCCTTATCTTTGGCATCTCCTGCCACTAAGGTGAAAGAGATTATTTTCAGAGCATAGAAAATGAGAGGATTAAGCCCTTCCAAAGTGTCAATGGCTACCTACTAAGAGCTCCTGGGTGGCAAAGACTGGAAGGCTGGAAAGGGATCTCTATCATGAAACATTTTGCCTCTCTGCTATTTGTTTAATTATATACATCACATCTCTTAGAGCTGAAAGAACTCACCAGCTGCCTGTGCCTATAGCAGTTTCTTAGTAGTCATGTTTTTGGGAGAGAAACAATATTTGCTGTAAACCCACTGTGCTCCAGACACTAAGCTAGGAACGAATGTGCATTATGCAACGGAAAATAAAGGAGTCCATTTATCTGAGCCCTGATCTCCAGAACCTAGTTGACATGGACCTAGTTGACATAATGAGGATGCAAAGGAGACTTGTCACCTTCTGAGTTGAAGATTAGAGAACCTGGGTAATCTAAGCGCTAAGATTTCAGCCATCTTGACTGTAGCAACTGTGTTCAAACACGTATGAATGACATTCTGACACCTGTCAATTGCCCCGTAATTCCCTTCATGTTCCAAGGAGACAGAACATCTGTGCTGTCTCCTTTCTGTGGGCACTTGTGAGAGGCACTGCTATTGCTCAGCTGCCTAGGGGCCAGGCTGGGTCAGAGTGAATGGCTCTTCAATCTAACCATCCTTCTTCATCTTGCTACCTGTATGGGGGCACCAGCCTGAACTGCCTAGCCCCATGCAGATGCTTGGTATGGAGATGTAGTCTTCCTTTTGGGGCCCATCAAGTTTTCAATAAATATCCCGATTTGCAAACTGTGCTGCAGGCACTAAGGCTGTACCTTTACATCACTGAAACTGCTGTAATGACGTCATAGCTGGGGCAAATGTACCCATCAGCCTCAGCCCTATCATCAGATGCAAATCATGGTGGCAGTTAAAGCTCCTTTCCAACCCAAAGTGGCTTGTGAAATGCCATAGTGTTCACCTGGCTGAGTTCATGCATGTTTCTATTACATTCCAAATCCCAGGTCTGCCATCTACAAACACCTTGAAGCCCATTCCTCCTTTTCTTCCAGCACAGGATGGTTCCATCTTAATATCAGGGGTATTTTTCTCAAGGAAGCAGTAAGAACACCAGCTATGGTGCATCCCAGAGCTGTGCACATGTGTGGCAGTGGTAGAAAAGGATGCTTTTGGTATTTGGAGCAGCTCCTGGAAAGCCAACATAGGTGGCTTCACAGCAACTGCTACCTGTAGTCAATGCAACTGCAAAACCTTGGATTTCAAAGCCTGAGTTATTCCAAGAAGTGGGCCTTAGCCTGACCTATAGAGGTGTTCTTTCTATGCTCATGCTGTATTCCAGACTGTGCCTTTGGACAAGATACAAGGCCTGAGATGATTCTCTCCCTGGGATGTGTGATGATTTTCCTACAAAGCCCTTTGAGGTGATCTGGTGTCAAGCAGAAATAGGGATGGCATGTGATGTGAAGGAAAGTCTCTGGGAATAGTTTGGGATGGTTTCACTGCTGACCAAGCGGTGAACACTGGCCAGAATTCTACGTTTGTTACTCTCAGCTTCTGCTCTGAGCAACAGATTTTGGAGGCAAGCTTTGGGATGCAATGGGACCCAGGACACTTGCCTTGACACAGGAAGAATTTGGACTCTCCAACGCTGATTTCTCCTTGGCTGGGAACAATATCCACCTGAAGGGAAACTGGAAAAAAGAAGTCTAGTTCAGACACACCTTTAAAAATTTGAAATCAAATGCCAGAGTCTTCATTCCGAAACAGGATTTTCAAGCTCAGTTTTAGAAAGATGAGGTTTATTTGGCTTCTGAGAACTTGCTACTATTAAAACGACTTTACAGTGTAGCCAGAAGGAGACACAGCCTAGACTGCTAGTATGCAGAACTATTGTTATCTGCTGTCAGAGTGGAAGGGTCCTCCTGGGTGACTGGCTAAACAACTGTGCTTTCTATTCACGGAAAGAGCTGGCTAGCCAGTCCTTTAGGTGTCAGTCTGCAGCGTAAGAGTGGGGAGCCTGTCATCTCAGAACCATGCACAGGGATAGCTTAAACATTCCGTATACTGCCATGCTTGATCACTGCGAATCAGACCCTTTCTAAAGCAGGGGTGCCAATGAGAGTCCACCTTTCCCTACAATGTATAACCAGCACGCCTATCTTGAGCTAGAAACCACATCAGCACACCAATCAGTCCGCCCCGCTTCTGAAATCCCACAGCCTGTGCTTTGTGGAATTCTTTGCATCCCTTGGCTACTTTCCCTGAATTTTTATTTGAATACCCATACGCCCAGTCTTCCCATGGCACTGATAAGAAAAAAAAAATACACAACACCAGATCTCATCGATGCCTGCTTCACTCTGCTTCCCGTTTATCTCCTTAGAGCAGATAACGGCTGTTCATGAAAATACAGTTTTAGGAAAGCAAAACAGAACGCTTTATTCATTTGAAGTCAACTTCCTTCTGCCTCTGCTCTCTTTAAGTAAATCTGAAAGGCAAAGGCTAGTACACATTGGGTTCCATGGAGGGAGCTCCTCAGAGCCATTATAAAGTATACTCCCTCACCACCACCTCCACCCCCCCCCCCAAAAAAAAAAAGAGAAAGAAACAGGCTTGGTCTTAGAGATTCTGAGCTCTTCCTTTCAACAGCCATTTTCTGTTCACATTAGAAGAGGGAAAGCTCGTTGCCATGGTGATCGGCTTGCAGGCAGGCCTGGTGCAGCAGCTCTGAGTATGGGCTCCTGAGACAAGAGACCACAGTTGTGCTCAGCAGTATCAGGGATCAAAGGGCCTGCCTGGGGCTAGAAAGGGAGTGTATGGCGTGGGGGCGGGGTATAGGTATAGTATTAGGGGTACAGTCTTCCTAATCATGCCACCGACAGACAAAGCAGGTGCTGAGAAATCCAGGAGAGGCTGTAGAGGGAGAGGGGTGAAGTGGAGCCAGCATGGAGAAAAAAAAAATGGAAGGAGGAAAAGGGGAAGGGATGGGGGTTCAGGGTCAAGGAAGGGGCTGAGCCCTCCTCCACAGATAAGAGGCTGAGCTTGGGCATACTCAAATACTGAACTGGGGGAAACAGTACAATAACCTAGGGCCTCAATCACCTCCACTATGTTATTGCCAACTAGTCTGGGATCCAGGGTTTATCCTTGAACTTGTCTTCTCGATCTTCAACCTCTCTATGCATAGACCTTGGTACATATAGCTGTCCTAGGACATGCTGCTGGCCAGGGCTGAGTCCACAGATCCAGATGCAACCAACTGGAGTTGCTTTTCCTGTGATTCTTCTCTAGCTGGATTTGGGTGGTACTCAACTTCACACTGGGACATCTGGAAAGGGTTTCAGATGTCACCATGATCTGCCTCTTCACTTTCCCAATGGGGAGGAGTGGGAAAATGATTTCCTTTACAGTCACAGGCCCTCCTGACGCTCACCTCAGCTAAGTTCACTCTCCCTTTGCAGTGCAATCTTTGTGAAGAGGAAAGATGTTTCCATTGACTGTAAGAAACCATCTGAGCATGATGAGTGACAGCCCTTAGAACTGCCATTTCTTATGGGGTTAGAAAACTCAGGGTTAAGCCCCTCTGGTATTCTGAGAGCTTGGGACCTAACAGAGAAGGCTACAAGCTAGTGCTGTGAATTCAAAGGCTAACCAGAACCTCTTTGATTGCTTTTGGTAGCTCTCGCTTCATGGGCTGGATGGTACTTTGAAGTCCGGAAGCTGTTCCTCCATGACTCACCTGAGTGATATTCCTCTGTGGAGTCTCCAAGGGCATTCTCTAACAGCAAAGTTCTCTCTGCAAAGTTCACTGCCCATATGCTGAGCATTAGCTGTTGGCTTCAACATGTGGACCCTGTTACTTCAATACCCTCACTGCTGGAGAATATTCTTATTCTGAGTGAAAAAACAGCCTTCACATATTTTTTTTTAAGTTCCTTTCAAAAAAGAACATGACTCTCAAGGGGGAGTCCAGCTGAAGAGCTTTCATATCCAAATGCGGCCAGGATCTATCTATGGACAACTGAGAGAAAGAGAAATGTGGATTTCAAAGGAATTCCCAGCTTAACGGGATCCCTCACACACATTTATCATCAGTTCTAAAAAAAGTAATCTTCCATGGAGACTGCTGGTCCTTTGCACACAAGGAGAAGAGACTGACTTTTCTCTCAAAGCACCGTTCAGGACTGGGACAGGGGAGCCTAGACACTCAGCAAACAATACTTGCATGCTTTAGACTGTGGTGGCGGATTTTCTCCTACACATGCCAAATCTTGAAATACTAGGTCTGATAATGAGAAGTGGAAACGCCGCGCTGAACTCCAAAGTCCTTGACTCCCCTGCTTGCCCCTTCCCTCCACACCTCTCTCTCTTTTTAACTTTTCATTGTTTGCAAGAAAATCTCCTGAATTGTGTCTCACTGTCCTCTAGTCGTGTGTGCAAGATAATTTCCCAGCCAGGAACAATGCACACCTTTACAGACACTTCTGCAAGCATTGCTCTCAAATCATGCGCCCTGCTTTGCTTCAGCCTTCTCTGCATAAACACTGTCATGTAAGCGGCAGATGAAGAGTCACACCCCCAAACCCAGATGTTTGGACCACGGTGGGTTTTGCTCATTGAGATAACATTGCTCAGTAATTCCCATGTTCTCATTTCCTTATGTATCCACAAAGCCTACCTGCACCCAGCCTGCACTGTTCAGTTTATAAAAGCCAGTTCATTGTTTCACCAATTTTCTAATAGTTCACAGATTAAAAAAAAAAAAAGACTGAGGGTACTGCAGAAGAGGAAACTGCAATGCAGGAAATGAAATACTTCACTCAGATGATGAGCATGTCAACGAAGAGGGGATGAATGAACATCATCCAGTTCTGATGCTCCAGCTCATATACCCCCACTTTTTAACTACTTTGAACCTCTCTCTCTCTCTCTCTCTCTCTCTCTCTGTGTGTGTGTGTGTGTCTGTGTTTGTGTGTGTTGTGTAGGCCAGAGGTCAATCTCATGTGTCATTACTCAGGAACCATCATCCACTTCAATTTTTGAGATAGCATCTCTCACTGGCCTGGAGCTCATCCAATTAGGCCAGTCTGGCAGGCCAGCAAGCCCCAAGGATCCCCCGTCTTCACTCCCCCAGCAGTACCTCACTACACCAGGTTTTCTCATATAGATCTGTGCAGAGCAAGTACTATCTCCCCAAGCTCCTCGAGTCTTTTCAAAGCATCCAGATAGTTTTATTGTAACCTGTTACTTCCTATTAGTTGTTCTTTCTCTCCAAATAATGAGTTAGATATAGTCGAGCTTTTGTGCAAAAAGATTTCAATTACCTTGCTGTCACCATGTCCCTGCAGATAATGATAATTGTCCTAGTTATTCCCATTTGACAGATGGGAGAGCAGAAACTCAAGGCCTTAATTAATGGTCAAGATTCAAACTCATGGTAAACAAAGTCCAAAGCCCCAGCTGTTTCTCTTATATTATGTGAAGTCTTGTAAGAGAATATTTTTTAAAAGATTTATTTATTTATTGTATGTATATGAACATATACTTTGTTTTCATGCATACCAGAAGAGGAAATCAGATTCTATTACAGATAGTTGGAGCCACCATTGGGTGCTGGGAATTGAAACCAGGACCTCTGGAACAGCACTCAGTGCTCTTAACCACTGAACCATCTCTCCAGCTCCCTTGTGAGTGAATATTAAAGAAGTCTTGTCCTTTGATAAACAGATGGTCTACCTCCCCTTGTCTCATGTAAAGAAGCCTGAGGGAGAGTGCTTGGTTTTAAAATGTATTTGTCCTTTTTAGTGTCTTTTTTTTCTTTTTAGTTTATGAATGTTCTGGAAACAATGCTTTTTCTTTTAGGTGTAGGCAGATATTTTATAACTCCCAGCTTCCTAGCAAAAGCAGGCTATAAAGCCATGATTACTGAAGAAAAGCGAATGAAAATTTCAGTTCATGAGAGCTGCTAGGGTGCTTATTGGTAGAAGCAGGATCTTATTAGGTAAAGCGACAGTGAAGAATCATTCTGATTTCCAAAAGAGTTCATAGATTTCACTTAAATCAACTTCTCGAAGTGGTTTGATTTTTACTAGTTTTCTTTTCAGATTCTAATGTGTTTTTGAGGAGCTTCAGGTAGAAAGTGAACCCAGTGGTCTCTAAAGCCACTTGGACATACTGCCATGTTGGAGGGTATGAAAAAGGTTATTGGCCACAGAAAAGATGAGGTCGCATCTGTTTGTGGATCCAGGGCCAAAGTGGGCACTGCTTTGGAAGATGTCATATGATTAATCAACCTAAGATGGGCAGACTACCAAGGACTGCTCTGCTTACTGGCGATCCATGAAATGGAGATACTGAGAGGGAGACATTTTTTAGAACCTATTTAACAATGAAGAAGGTGTTGAGTTGTAGCTTTTATGGTTATTTGTTACTTATTGTTTTTTAGAAATCAGCCTATGTGTTGCTGTATGTAATCACCTCAGTGGAGAGATGCAGTTCTGTTTTGCTGAGTATAACTGTGAGACTTTTTATGTGAGCAAGCACAGTCACCGTGTTTTCAGCCTCAGACAGCTAGGAGTATAGGAACTGAGGCATCCCTACTGATAGTGATGGTGTGCTCTCACTGCTCAGCATGAAACTCAAAGAAAGCAAAGCTAGCTAGTGCGCTAGTCATGTGAGTGCTTCCAGCCCA